GTGTGGAATGAACTTCCGGTGGATGTCAAAACAATTACAACCTTTAAGATACATTTGGATAAGTACATGAATAAGAAATGTTTGGAAGGATATGGCCCAAGCACAGGCAGGTGGGACTAATTTAGTTTAAGATTATGGCCGGCATGGACTGGTTGGACTCAAGGATCTGTTTCTGTGCTGTATGACTCTGACTCTTAGCAAGGCAGATTGCATGGACAACAACAACTTGTTCTTACTTTACATGTCACTGACATTTCAGAACTATAACCAAATGCAATCAAATAAAAATTGAGCCAAATGTTGTAATTGGAAGACTGACAAAAAGCTGGTTAAAAAAGATAGATTTTAAGGAGGATTCTAAGGTGGAGTGATTTAGGGAAGGAAGTCGAGAGGGTAGTGCCTGGTCAGCTGCAGGTGCATCTACAACTGGTGAGGTAGCATCTGTGGAGAGAGAAGCTACATTAGTGGTTGGTACTATTCCAACAAAACTGGACAAAAATTGAAGATGTGAAAGTTTTAAGCAAACAGAGTCAGGCAAAGAGAGGGGTGTTGGAAAAGAAGAGGAGATTGAAAGAAAAATGAGTGTGGAGGAGGTCTAACTGGGTAATGTACACTCATTCCATCCAAATATTTGGGAGTAGGGATTATGATCTGGAATGAGAGAAGTTCTTTAATATGATGGGCTCAAACAGGCGAAGGGAGGATGCTTCTTAGTGATGGTTGGTTTTGCTTCCAATCAAGGACGAAGTGGAAAGCCCTTACCCCTCTTGATTGGGCCTGGGTTTGTTCAAGGTTAGCTGCCTGTGATGAGGCAGAGATGGCTCAGGCCAGGAGATTGGAAACTGTTAAATTGGCAATAGCATTGGAAGAGTCATGAGTAGGTGGGCAGAGACAGGAAAATTGTTGAACTCAAAAAGTTGAATCTGGAAGATGACAAAATGCCTAAAAGATAAATGAAGTGCTGGCCCTCTAAGGTCAGCCAAAATTACCAGAACCCTTTCAAGGGCACTGGAATGACCATTTAAAGCTGATGTACCCTCCCACAATTGCCTGTAATTCCCCTCTGAGGCCACTAGGCTTTAATATTCTTGGTTGAGTAGTGCTTGAACGTGGTATCACAATCTCAGAACAAGGACTCAACAATTTAGGACGGATGGGAGGAGAAACACCTTTGCATAAAGGGTTGTGATTTTTTTGGAATTCTCTATGCCTGAGAGTTGTGGATTCTAGATTAAGTGTATTCAAGACAGACGTCAGTAGATTTTTGGATACAACGGGCTTCCAGAAATGTGAGGATGGTGCAGGAAAGTGACATAGAGGTGGAAAATCAGTCATAACCTAAGTAGACAGAAGAATCAGGATGAAAGAGCCAAATGGCCTACTCATGCTTATGTTTCTTAGAGATTATTTTTTCATCAACTTGTTCAAATATGATTTCGCACTCCTCCTTTGAGGCGATTGCAAGAGCTTACCACCTTGGGGTGCATATTCATAAATATTTGATGGTGCAGATAAGGTGGTTAAGAAAGTGAAGAGGACGTTGAATTTTCTGAAACTTGCTGCTTGTCAAGAGCAATAGACCAAACAATCAGTTCCAAAACTAAAAACATCATAATGGAGGAAAGCTGGAAAAAAATCATAAGACTAATTTTCCTTTTCCTCGTGTGTCATGTGCTCTTGAAAGATCTTTTGTGGCCAGTGTTCATGAGTAAATGCATGAAACAGGCCGTTTAACTGAGTGACCCATCAGAGGTGACAATAGGACATATTCTGAATCATTCCCGCACATTCAGAGCTCCAGAAAGAGGAAGCCATTGGGTAAAAATTAAGACCCCCTCATCTCTGCTTCCAAGGCAACTGAGGCCAAATTTCTCGTGTTCATATTACACCCATAACTGATGCTGGATAACTTAGCACAACACATGTTTACCAGGGCCCTTCTGATCTATATAGGCATTCTGCATCTTGAATTAACTCACCAAAGGGATCGAGAGGCTTTCCAAAACTAAAATTTTACAAACATTTCTAAGCGTGTATACTCTTCAGTTAAAATATGGTCAATTCACCTCTTTTCAAATTTCTATTCATGTGTTTTCTCATGGTGTATTTTAAATTACATCAGACCAACTTGGGTAAAGGCATTTAATAATCCTCCCGAGATAATGTCTATTGAAAACAGTTTCATCATCCATTGTGCTGCATTTGCTGATGCTTCAAATAGAGGTTTAAAGCCAAGTTAGACCCTCTTAATCCTTCAGCACAGCAGTTTTGTTGGTGGCCTAACATCTATGCATTGGTACATTAAACTTGGATTAGTTTGGACCAAGTCTGGAACAATGAAGCTCAGGTCCTAGGCTGCACATCAAAGCTTTCTGAAATTATTCTTCTGTTTTACTCCAAACATCAGATTATGCTGAGTGTTTTTTGAGTTGCCATTGTTCAGACAACATTGTTCCTGTTGAGCTATTCCCTTGAACTCAGGAGGATAGAAATTTAAGTGATGGTATAACTTCGAGTTGCTATGGGTGTGCAAGTACAGCTATTTACCTTTACTACCTTCATCCCCACCTCCTTGACCGGTCCGTCTTCTCTCCCACCTATCCGCTCCACTATCCACCTTCTATCGCCGCCTCCCCCTCTCTATTTATTTCAGAGCCCCCTTCCCCTCTCCCACTCCTGAAGAAGGGTCTAGACCTGAAACGTCAGCTTTCCTGCTTCTCTGATGCTACCTGGCCTGCTGTGTTCATCCAGCTCCACACCATGTTATCTGAGACTCCAGCATCAGCAGTTCCTACTATCTCACAGCTATTAGTTGTTGTGTACTGCAGGATACAAAGACTGTAGGATGGGAAATGCGTCAACTGTGTGGCAGATTTAGTGTTCACGAGGGGAGAACACTTTCACCACCTTAATGTGGTACTAATGTGATTGCTGAGAACTGCAATGTAAATCAATTGTCTTCAGTCACCCACTGTTAACTCTGCTCCATAGCTATCAGCTGTCTCTTCTCCTGACCACTGTTTGAGCTTGAACCAGACTATTTACAACCTTGGTGTTATATTTTGATACTGGGATCACTGTGGAAAGAACGTTAAGGTAGTCAAAAAGGTTTTAGCATCTTTGTGAATCCGTTCTTCTCGTCACTTTCCCAGAGCCTTCAGCTGCTTGATCCGATCTCTGAATTCCCTTCACCTCTCTCTCATCACTTAAAATGCTCCTTGAAACCTACTTCTCTGATAAAGCCAATGGACATCCGTCTTAATACTTCCTCATGCAGCTCAGTATCAAATTTTGTTTGATAACATTTATGTGAAGTGTCTTGGGATTTTTCACTACATCAATGGCACAAGATAAATGGAAGTTATTGTTGTAGTGTGTAATTTAAGAGAGTAGAAATGCTGTTGGTTCTTACAAAGCTAGCACAATTGCAGTCAAGTATTTTAATTGCTGTTTTTTTCTCTTTCTATCATTTATGACCCATTTGTTTTACTGTTATCTGAAAGTCACGCAGTTATGGATTCAAGTCTACTCCAGAATCTGAGGACAAATATCAAGGCTGACAGTCGAATGCAGTATTGAGAAAGAGCTGTGCTGTCAAAAGTTCCATGTTTCAAATGAGACATTAAATGAGGGCACATGGCTTCTCAAATGAACCCTGATGCTATCTTGGTAGAGAGCAGGGAAGTTGCACCCAGTATCCCAGCCAGTGATTATGACTCCATTAACAACATGATTATCTGGTCATCGTCACGTTTACAGGAACTTGCTGTGTACAAATTGGTTGCTGTGTTTCTTGCATTCCAATTGTCTTTAAATTTCAGAAAATAATACATGAGCTTTAAAACATTTTGAGACAACATTCATAACAAAGTGTAAGATTTCCTACGCTGAGTACGTCCAATTTGGTATCACAAGACTTGGGAGAGTAATTTAAATCATTGATGGTTTGTTATTAGTTGTGAACTGCATTTATGTTTCATTTATGTTGCAGAAGCAATGCTGTGTTACTTGTTAGTAACTGATACAGTGAAGTAGATAAGTGACTGGCCAACTCAATGTTAACCTTAGTGAAATTACACAGCCAAATACATTACCAAAATTAACATTGGAGGATATTACTGAATTCTAAGCAGTTGAACATTGACTTGTACTTGATTGTTTTCAGTTTTTAGGAAATCTGACTGAGTAAACAGCCATATCATCATCAGTAAAATATATTTAAGAGAGGTGTTTCTTTTTGGCAAAAGGGCCACACTGCCCAATCCTCAGAACAGAATATAAGTTCCTAAATTACTAAATTATTGTTCTCTGCTTTATGTGGTGTTTTACCATTTTCCTGCCCTTGTTGAGAAAGTTCCTTTTCTGTGAATGTCGGTGTCTCATATTTCACCAAGTACGAGTCCTTTGTGCTTCCGCACAGGCAGTGTTACTGAACTGTACAAATGAATCATGTATCATAGGTGTATCTGGTCCTGTTCTCATGTGATATTCAGATGTATGCGCTTTCTGGCAAATCTTGTTTGAAAGCAATTAGACTTTGTTTCACTACTCCCCAGGTCAGGGTGTTGAGATAAACTGTTGATCCCTAATTGCATTCGAGCCCAATGAACACAGTGCAGACCAGAAATGAAGCTGAATGTGTTCAGCTCCTATTCATGTCTCACACTGAACCAGTAGCATTTTTGTAATCAAAATCTGTAAGAACTGTAGATGCTGTAAATGAGAAACAAGAGCAGAAATAGCTGGAAAAGCTCAGCAGATCTGACAGCATCTGTGAAGAAAAATCAGAGTTAATGTTTCAGGGCGAGTGACCTATCTTCAGAACTTTTGTAACTTTTTTAGAAATTACCTTTAAAGTAAGAACAGTTAATATAAGCTATAATAGACTCCAGTGTTCAGATTCAGAGTTAAGATCCGTTACGCAAAATGATAAGCAAGAAGACATTGAATGACACAATCTGAGGTCAGGTAAATTAATTATTTTTCTTGTCTTTAACCAGGTAATGTGGGTGTGCAATTTATGCCGTAAACAGCAGGAAATTCTTACAAAATCTGGAGCATGGTTCTTTGGAAGTGGAACACAACAGCCCCCAAATCAGGATGGGACCCTGAGTGACACAGCTACAGGGACTGGTTCAGGCGCACCAAGGGAAAAAAAAGCAAGACTGCAAGAACGTTCACGATCCCAGACACCTTTAAGTACAACAGGAGCAACGCAGGAGGTTATGCCTCCTGACAAGTCTAGGATCTCTGAACTTACTCGACAAGAAATGGGTTTTGAACAAAAACAGTCTTCAGCAAGATCAAGGAGTGAACCCCCAAGAGACAGGTAATCTGAGTCACCCTGAAACCCAAGTCTTTTTGTGCTGGATGACATAAGCCAGTGTTAGCTGATGAGCTGTTTTAAGCTGCCATGTTTCTCCATGTCAAGTGGTTAATCCTTGAGATGTGATTTTGATTTCTACTTTCTGACCTTGCATGTGGCCTTTCATTGTTGTCAGATCTCTTCAGAAACCAATCTGAAGTCCATCTAACCTAAACTATTCCATTATCATCCATATGTTTATCCAATG